ACATTCTTCCCTCCTCCTCCCGGGGCATCCGGAAAGCAGGCAGTGGCGCCCTGGGGGGCACCACTGGAGAGTGAGGGTCCCCGCGGTGGGGCGAGAGGAAAGTAGAATCCAGAAACTATGGGGAGAGAAAGTGAGCGGGTAATTAAAGTAAGGTGTGCGTGAGGAGGAGGGCCAGGGACCCCGTAGGTTCCTGGGTATCAGCCGGCTTCCCAAGGGTTAACCCCTCAGACCCCCGGGAACCCCCTGGTGACGTCAAGGGCGGGGTCTGAGCCGTCGGGTGGGGATGCCGCGGAGATAATGGGGGGGAGGTCTCCGGACCCCGCCCCCCTAGGGAAAACCACCCTTATTCCGACCCTTACCTCTACCCCGGGAAACTGCCTCGCTTTCCCCCCTCTACTGGAACGCAGAGACCTGTCCTATGAAGACCCCACTTCCCCAGCCCCCGAAAGCCCTCAGTCCTGCCTCTACGGGGTCCCCGTTCCCTGATCCTGTCCCCAAAGCTAGCTGCCCAGGGCTGATTGTTTCGGGGTCAGGGGGCCTGAAAGAGGATTCCGAGCGGGGAGCAAGGGCAGGCAGGGTGGTCCGAGCCAGAGGAGGGGCCTCGGTCCCCAGCTCCCGTTTGGGCGGGGGGCCAACGGGGATACACAGGCTGGCAGCGGGCCCGCCCCGCCCCAGTAGGGGTCTGCCGGCGGCCGGCTCCAGCTGCCCCGGTGGTCCTGAGGTCAGAGGGTCAAGACAAGGTCTCCCCGGCTCCTCCTTGGGCGGCCTGCCCGCAGCCCTTGGGACCCGGAGTGCGGAATCCCCCGGGGCCAGGCTGTGGCCTAGACTAGACCTGGGACAGCCCCTCCAGCCCCCTTCCTAGTCCAGAAGGTGCTCCCTGCCCCCCAAGCACAAGCCTCCCAGGGCCCATCTGTCGCGAGCCAGGTCAGGGGTTCAAGCCCAGCCGGCCCCGGGTCCTGCTGCCTCTCACTCCCGGGTCCCCACCCCTCCGGGGCTCCCTCCTCGGCGGCCCCCTCCTTTCGGAAACACTGACGTCTTCCTGCCCCGCGCCGAGACACACCTGGAGATCCCTCTACCACGGCGACCTGCAGCTAGCCATCCCTCCAGCCCCTTCATCTCAACCTCGTGAAAGTGAGATGTTTCTAACGTACGGGAGAGGCGGAGACAGACAAAGAGACCCACGGCTGCCCGAGACCGGGACACACAGACTGTCACAAGAGGGAGGAGAAGGCAGAGAAAGGCACCAATGAAACATGCTCCGAACTTCGCGGCGTCTCACCCCAGGCTCTCCC